CATAGAGAACAATGCAAAAAAAAATACAGAATAATATTAATGACAAGGATTGTGGTTTTCAAATGGGAACGTTCTGTTACAAAAGATGAAAATACAAATAAATGCTTTAATGCAGCTATGAGCTGTGAAGCATTAAATGACAGAATGGCTGAAATCATAGGTGGGAGCCAGATTTCTTCGGGAAAAGGTGATAAATGAGATTCTGATAGAGGTAGATGCTTCCTACAGCTCCTCCTGATCTGATTTGGAGATGGATAATAGAAACCTTGGTCATATTGCACATATAATTATTGGTGGGACAGTTTTTTATGTTACTTTGCAGCTGTAGTGATGATGTTATTCATAACTTCGTTAATCGTCATATCTACAATAGAGGGTTCTTTCCTATTAATGACACAAACTGTGAGTTTGTCGTACCAAGCAAGGGGATATGGTGGCCGTGGGGCCACCTGAGGAGTTAATCACCTTCAGAAAAAATACTTGAAGTAAGCAGAGGTCCTGTATATGTTGGGAAAAGTTGACAAATCCATGTCTTAGAAGTCAAGACGTGCAGGAATGATGAAAACAAAAAAAAACACCAAAGGTTGAGCAGAATTAGTTGGCTGAGTGTGTCGACTTGCCTTCAGGGGTGTCAGTAGGAAAGGTCGGGTGCAGAGGGAGGTGGGCTGCTTGCGATGAGGGCTTGGTTGTAGATAAGAGTAGAGCTGTTGTGTGAACACTAAGAACATACTTTGCTTCATTTCTCAGTACAGGTGTTGACACTGCATGAGCAAGATGGATAAATATAGTAATAATAGATGGATAAATAGTAATAATAGTCAAATGAGTAGTTCCATTGAAAGCAAAATTGAAGGAGTTGGTGTACTTAAATTGAGGAGAATAATCTACCACAGAAACCTGAAGTTTTAGGACATGGCAATGCGAGTCTTTAGCAACAAGTATCTTTTAACATATTGATGAAGTTAGTGTTGAAGAATCGTAGACTTTAATGGCAGTGTTTACAAAAGGGAGGGGAAAAAAGCAAATTGAACTTTGTAACATGACATCAAAAGGATGTATGCCTCAGGATATATTTGGAAAACAAGATCTGAAACAAGCTTCCCAAATGTAAAACAAATGAGAGACCTCAAGATTTTTATAAATAAAATAACAAACAGATAACCCTATCTTATTCCCAATGAATAAACCAAACTATCTGGATTCTGATGAAGTATCTGGCATGTGGGGAAATTGGTGCTGAAAGTCACATTGGTAGAATGATAAAAATGAGTACTGAGGTGCTGATGAGTGGGAAACTGGTCATGGGGAGTGTGGAAGGGTGAAGTGGGGAAATGATACTAATAAGGTTGGGAATGGTCTTGTATTTCGTTAATGATCTTATGTGTAAATACTAGGAGTAAGTACATGACACCTCATCATGGGGAATAGGAGGCATTGGCAGAAAACAAGGACCAAGCATCACACAGAAAGCAGTAGGGTAATAGATATGGGTTAAAAAAGAAATCTGTGGTAGTTTCACCCACAGGTAAGACCATGTGGTCCTGTACTCACTGCCCCCAACCTGGTGAGATGGGATGGGAGACACAACAAAGGGGCACGGGATTATGATGAAGGACAGGGAGGGTTCACTCACCAGTCATGGTCACGGGCAAAACAGACTCAACTTGGGGAAGAAAAATCAATTTAATTCGTTGCCATTCATCTGAGTAGCTCAGTGAGACATAACCACATCTTACAACACCTTCCCCCACCCCCACCTTCTTCCCGGGCTCAGATCACTTTGCTCCCCATTTCTCTGCTTTCTCCTCCCCAGCAGCACAGGGGACAGGGAATGGGGGTTGCAGTCAGTTCACCATTGCTGCTCTTCCCAGCATGAAAGTCCAGGAACAAAGTGTTCCAAAGCAGCTTCCCATGGAGTCACGGACCAATTTGGGCTCAGCTCCTGGCTGTGGCACGGGGATGTCCATGGGCTGCAGACGGGCCCCAGTCCAACGCACCTCCTCACCCCCCAGATCTGGGGGTCCACCTCCACTCTGGCATTGAGCGTCTCTCGGGATCTCAATTCAGTCACACTTGCCCTCAGGCTCAGCTTTTCTGCTCCAGCATGGAGTCCTGGATTAATGTATTTGTTTTGGGCTGAAGTGGCACCTCATTTACTCCCCCTACTCTTCTGCGATCCCAGTGTCTGAGGTTCTCTGTCCTCCCCCTCCTCCTCCTTCCTCCTGGCAGTGATGCTCTCCTCTTTGTCTAGGCCAATGGTCGTCTTTTGTTCAGGTCAGTGACCTCTCCTCCAGGTTCTCTCCTCCTTCTTTTCACAACCAGTTCTTCCCTCATAAATATGAATCATAGAATCTCTCGGTTGGAAAAGACCTCTGAGATCATCGAGTCCAACCATACCTGACCACTGCTAAACCATGTCCCTGAGCACCTCGTCTAACCATCTTTTAAACACCTCCAGGGATGGTGACTCCACCACCTCCCTAGGCAGCCCATTCCAGTGCCTGAGAACCCTTTCAGTGAAGAAGCATTTCCTGACATCAAAGTTAGTCCTACTCGCCCAAGGGCTCTGCCTTGGAACCAGGGGAGCTTCACAAAGCTTCTCACAGGGACCATCACTACAGCCTCTTCCCCTACTACCAAAAACAGCCCCTCAACCACAAACCCAACAGATATATATTAAAAATCATGTAGCTGGTAGTTACCAGTGAAGTGGGAGATGATCAGTCATAAGCAACTGAGACAAGTGTGCATGTACTGACTGTCATTGGTTCACCTCAGTGATGTCCAACGGTAGAACAAGGAGCAGTGGTTGTAAGCTGGAGCACAGGAGGTTCCATGTAAACATAAGGAAAAATGTTTTGACTGTGAGAGTGACAGGACACTGGGACAGGCTGCCCAGAGAGGTTGTGGAGTCTTCATCTCTGGAGATGTTCAAAACACACCTGGACACTTTCCTGTGCAACCTGCTGTAGGGAACCTGCTTTGGCCAGGGGCATTGGATTGGATGATCTCCTGTGGTCCCTTCCGACCCCTGACATTCTGTGGTCCTGTGAAAGCATCAATGCGGTTGTGCTGGACCCTGATGGGACCTCGTGTAGAGTAACACTTGGCCTTGTTCAGGAAAGATGAGCTGGAAATGCATTAGCTTGAAAAACGACTGTAAGGATGAGAGTGAAGCCTGGTTTATGAGAAGGGACTAATAAAAGTGGTATAACCTGGAGTTAAGAATTAAATGGGAATTTGCTTTAAGTCTAAAACTACAATATGGAATATATAATCTGAAGGTCAGTGAGTATAACCTGACAATGAAAAAATACAAGTATAAGGATGTTTCTGAGCATGAGAACATCACGGTTCTGGAACAGCTTTCCATCAGGGAAAGCGAGGGTGGAAAAGTGGTGACTGATCTGTTAATGAAGGGATGTGTGGTGTTTCTGGTGCTAGCAGAGGACTGAGTTTGATAATCCCAGGAAACCACACCTGGATTCTTACATAAGTCATGAGAAGCCTCCTGGGATATTTCACATGTGAAAACTTTGCTGCAAGTTGTTATTGCTCTAGATCATGGCAAACCCGAGTTCTGATGCTGGAGGAGTTTTAAATCCTCGAGTTGGTACCTTACGCACATCTCCATGGCTTTTTAATGGAATTTCCTAGATTTTTAATGGAATTTCCTAATTTTTAATGGAATTTCCTAGGTTGAAACAGCCGCAGGCAGCTATTACGCTTCTGCTTCACGTTGTCTGATCCATGGCTGATGTTTGAGCTCAAGGATACACTCCAGCAGCAGTAGACTATTTGCTCTGTTTGCTCTCTCTTTAAAGGAAGCAGTAGGACATAGTTTAATTCTAATTCATAGTGTTTGCCAGAGAGCTGCAACGTGTACAGACGGCTCCTGTGCTGTGTTCCTCTCTTGGGCAAGCTGTGCAGTGTGCTCGTTAGAGAAAAATGTATATAGCTGAAATGCACGCCTTGTATTCGCTTCAGATGCATACAGCTCAATCAGAAGGTGCTTTAAGTGGTAGAAACTCCATTTTATAGGTGTTTGCTGAAATAAACGTGGTTAGGTGATTCGCTTGGGTGTCTGTTTTGACAGACAGGTTCTTCCTTGCAATGAAGATCTGGTTCTCGCTTTTCCCAGCGGTGCCTACTTGGCCTCTCAAATTCCCACTCAGCTGACTTGTAGTTTAGGAAAATGCAACTGATTTTAAGATTTTGTTCAGTAATTAGGGCTAGGAAATAAAACAAATGATGAGCCACCATGGGAAGAAGAAAGTCAGAATTCACGGATTCCTTATAGCAGGGTTTTTTTCAGATTTTAGATTGCTTAAAACAGGTTTAAATGTGCTGTGCTTCACTGGTCAAATAGCCTGTAAATTTGTTTAACTGTCAATTTGATATAGCTAACTTGTGCTTGTTCTGTTTTCAGTGCTTGCACCTCCTCCACCATTGCCACCACCAATACAGGGATATGCCTTTAAACCCCCTCCTCGACCAGATTTTGGCACTTCTGGGAGAACAATCAAACTGCAGGCCAACTTCTTTGAAATGGACATTCCTAAAATAGATATCTACCATTACGAATTGGATATAAAGCCAGAAAAATGCCCTAGAAGAGTTAACAGGTAATGTTGTGCTTTGCTTTTCCTCAGTTTATTTACATTCTTGTTTTCCTTTGAAAATGCTGGAGCCGTGTGCCAGTCTTCATTGACGGCTTGGAAGATGAAATGCCTTTAGTCATTGTTTGTACTGATAGCTTCCAACTTTGCATATCCATCAACAGGCTTTTTTTTTTTTCCCCTCCAAGTCTTTTGTACCAATCCAAGATTTCAGTGCTAATTGTCCCTTGTTTTGATTGAACTTGTCAGCATCTTACGATGCTGCTGATCAAAGCCACTGGTGACAGTTGTGAATAAACTATATTAACCCTACTGGAGTTAGGTCAGTATAAACCAACTTGATCAATATGATTCTTAGTATTGCTTGGTTAAATATTGGAGTGCAATTGGCTGACAGGTCCTTTAGCAGGGAGTTGGTGTCACCACCTTCCCCTTCTGACAAAGGGAGGCAAAACCCATTTGTCTGTGCTGCTGTGAGAGGATCGTGAAGGGACTAAATTAGGTAAGAAATCATCCTTCGTCAGTAGATTCTATATAAGGGAAAGATATGCTCCTGAAGCAGATAGCAAGGTGGAAACATGGATCAGTTGGCCAAGGAAACAAGCAATTAGGTCTTGTGTTTTGCATATGTGCCCTATTAGTCACAGTGTGGCAACCTCATTGACTTGAAAAAGAGTGGTGTTGCCAGAAGTGAAACTCGAGAGCAAGACTTGGCACTAACTAGAAACCACAAGTGTCTTCATCATAACTACCTACATCTTGACTGTAGAGGATTGGAATGGCATGTTTATATATTCAAGAACAAAACCTTTCCTTATTAAAAAAGGTCACATGAATGGAATATGCAGTCATGAACCAAGTGTGGAGTCAAAAAAGCCACCCGAAAGCCGAAGTTTTCTTATCGTGCATTAATAAACCAGAGTGCATTATCCATTGTTACACTAAAGAGTAATGATAGTGTTTCCATAAAGCAGCATCACTACGCTTTGCTGTCCTTTTTTTCTCTTTCCTGTGGTGATCTTCTATAAATTGAATTTTTAAGCTAGTCGAGAACTGAATTTAATTTTAAAAGCAAACACCGTTGTAAGTGTATTAATCTGAGCTCTCTTCTTGCCCAAGGGCAGCCCTGCTGATTTCACTGCAATACTCTTGCTGCATTGGAGTGCTGAAAAGAATTCTCAGCAGTCCCTTTTTTCATAGCAGGAGCTGTGAGCTTTGCTTTCATTAACTGGTATCCCTGCCACCAGCTCCAACTTTGACAACTGCTGACTGATGCTGATGGCCATGCCTCTGTAGCTCCTCGGGGAGCTGAGTGCTGCACAGCTCTTGTAGTTCTGTGTGATCACCCCTGTTACAGTCCAGCATGTGTGTGCTTGCTCCTCAGTGTCAGAGAGCGTAATTATTAAATAATAAAGCCATTTTTCTCACTGAAAAGGCAGATTATATTCAGTAGCAAGTTCTTTGTCCACTGACAGATTCTGACCTGCTCTGCTTTGTCAGGTTAGTCACTCCCTCTGTTGTGGTAACAAGAGCAAGTGAAAATCTGCATGGATTAAATGCCTTTTGCAGTGAACAAGGGTGTCATAAATACATTTGATGGTGCTAGTGCATGTTTCTCAGGGCAATGGGGAAAGAATACAAATTAGATTCACTTAATAAAGTGTATGTTTTATTTCTTTTGAGTTCTTATTCCTGCTTGCATTACCCTGTAGATGTACGTGCACTCACCTGCACTTGGGTTTTTGTGAGCCGTGACCTTTCAGTCCTGCATCTGTACCTATATTTGTGTGTGTCTGTGTGTGTATATACCTATATTTATGTGTGTGTATGTATATATGTATATAGAATTATGCATGATGCACATTTTGTCCAATTCTAAATGATCATTTTCTCAGCTGCTTACACGTTTCTAGTGTCTTGGTTATATAATTCAGATAGATATTTATAGTAAACAGTTTTTATCATTACTTTGTATCTTGTAGGCTCTAGAAAGGATAGAGGGAGATTTTATTTTCATTTACGCTACTCCCTCATGTGTCTCAGCTTCATTCCTCAGTTTTATTCTAGGATTTACTGTGACTTGGACTATGACCCTGCAGACGCGCTGCAGGGATGTGTAAAGTGTCCATGCAAGTTCCACACTGATGAAATGTGAGCTGGAGCAGGACTGGAAAACTCACAGCTGAGACAACGTGTTGCTGTGCCAGATCAATACAGTCCAGCTACAATTCTCCACGTGTTGCAGAAATCCCAGATCTGTTTATATAGATAGATAGGGAGAGTGGGCAGTGTGAGTTTGGTTCTGCACCGTGGATGCCCTCGGTTTAATTCATGAGGACAACTAAGACTTGTACAGGTTCAAGATGAACTCGCTTGCAGTCGCTGGCTCTTGAGTTCTTGGTGTACTTGTATGATCTCAGTAGAATAGTAGTCCCAAAGGGCTGAAGTTAGTGAATTGGTAAATAACTTCTAACTTCACATGGAGAAAATAACTTACTCTTCATTCAGATGTTTCCACCCACAGCTGAGAAGCATCATCACTAAACGTGGTTTGAAGCTTGGAAACCTTAATCAAGTGGAAGTGTTCATTTTTATATAAAGTAGTTCACAATTGGAAGAAATTGCTCAGTAAGAGAATGGGTTTTCCACTACTTAGTCTTTAAGTCAAGGTTGAAACATACCTCCTTCCTCCCACCCTCCAAATTATGTACTTGGTCAGTCAGACATTGCAAACCTGAGGCAGAAATTACTGGGTCAAGTTTTATTCATACTTCTCAGGAGGTCAGGCAATTCTCTTTCATTCATCACATCTTGTCTTAAAGCCTTGGCATACAGCAAAGAAATTGTCAGTTAAACTGTATTCATTCTTTTCTGGAATGAATTCAGTTTCATCTCAGAATTTTACAACACTATAATATCTAACTGGATGCTGGGTTATTTGCCTTTGTAAGTCAAGGTGTATGAAACCTGCAGCCTCTCTGAACTGCTGGGAGACAATGGTACTGAAGAAAGAGCATCCCATGGTTTTCTTTCTGTGTCAGTTTAACTTCTTAATGCCCTTTTGCCCCAAGCTGTATGTTAAGGATCTTGTAGGCAGTGTATTGCAGACCACTGATGGATTTCAGATTTTACAGCCTTGTGATAGAGATAGCCTGAAGGGTTTTTCTTTGGGACAGTCAGACCAAAGACCTTAGGCATCAAAGAGTGTTATTATTCCAACAGACCTCTCATCAGCTGGTGAACTGCTTTCCATGACCAGTGTGTAAACACTGTGGTTTTACAAGAGCCTTGTGAGTGGTTACTTCATTCATACAGATGTGCAACCTAATTCCAGCTATGCTTAAATATTTGAGTATGTGTTTTTAATATACACGAGTCCCAGTGAATGCTCACATCCAATTTTGTTGCACAGGTGAAAAAATGACCTTTAAAAGTAATCTTTCTCAGTGCAGAGCAAAAAGTTTGCATATCACTGTTGTCACAGAACTATTGTCCTTACACTAAGGCTGTAAGGTGGGATACTGATTTTTTTGAAAGTTTCTCGAGCTGCTGAGCTTTTGGTCCATGATCATCTGCAGAAAGGGCTGTAGACGAGGGAGCAGAAGCCCCAGGAGAATACCAAGCACCTCTCATTTTGAGCTTGAGAGAGCACAAGCTTTCGCTTTACCACTTTCAGTAGATCACAGAAAAGAGGAAGGAAAGTTTCAATCTGAAAAAAAGCTTAAAATAGCTGCTTTAAGAAAACAGTTTAGTCTGCGAAAAGGTTGCTTTAATTCAGATCTGTCAAACAAATCGTGCCCTTAATACTCAACAGTGGTCAACCCTTTCATTTACCTAAGGCCTGTATTCATAAATATTAGTGTTAGTGTTCATTTGCTACTTAACATCAAAAGTAAAAAGTTGCATTAACGAGATCTTTTTGTATTTTCAGAGAAATAGTGGAGCATATGGTTCAGCACTTTAAAACCCAGATTTTTGGGGATCGCAAACCAGTATTTGATGGAAGAAAAAACCTTTATACAGCTATGCCGCTTCCCATTGGGAGAGATAAAGTAAGTTTTAAATAGAAAAGTTTCTGTTTGGAGATTTCAATGTACTATTTGCAGAGCCTTTCTAATAATAGAGAGGAACTGATTTTTTAATTTCTGGAATAGATGTCTCTGTCCGTTACCGTTTTGCTCAGGGTGTGATTTGCCAGGACAGAAGTGTGAGCTTGTTGGTCACTCCCCTTGCCCTGTCCCTCCTTTCCTCCCTCTCTTTCTCCCCACTCATGTGGTTTCTGCTGGTTTGGTGAGCGGGATCCACTGCCCAGGACAGCGGACAGGCTCCGTACTGGCACTAGGGAGAAAGTGAAAGCACAGTTGAGTTTGGGAGAGGGAAGAAGAAGCCACCCTCTCTGGGCAGCAGCGAGCTGTTGTGCCACCTCATTCATCTCATCGAAGCCTCCTGTAAGCTGATTCTCACTATCCACTAGCTGGAAGAAACTCCTCCATCCCTCTGTTGGCGGTATGGAACCTCTTCCCTAGTCCTTTACCACATGAGAGCCAAATTTAAACTGCACAGGTTAAGACCTGCTAGCTTAGCCCTGGGGCAGTTGAAGAGGACTGGCATGTTCTGTTTGCCAGCTCTGTAGGTGGGGCGGTGACCTCTTTGGTCACTCCAGTTGTAGCTGTGAAGTGTACCCACCTCTGTGCCCACTGAGGAGTGGTGAAGCAGAAGGGACTGTGTTGGAACATGCTAATGCACAAACCCTATAAAATAATTTAGCCTGTGCTTCTGTGGTCTAATATCAGATTGAATTTTCTGTGGCCTTTTTTAGTTAGGTGATGAACACTGGAGGATGGATAGTCATTCTCATTACTCACTTATGCTGTGGTAGTTCCCAGAGGTTGTTACACCTTTCTGCTGTGGGTGCAAGGTGAGGCGTGCACAGTTAGAGGGGAAGACTGTCCGATCCCGTAGCAGTTGATTACAACCTAACTAGGCAAAAGTAAAATGTAAGGGGGAAAGGGAAACACAGAGAGATGTCAAAAGTTACTTACTTGATAAAACTGGGAACAGAGCTTAGGTCTTCCTAAATTGAGTAGCAGTGCACTACAAAATAGTCCATGCTGTCCGTGGCTGTCTCATATTGAATGCTCGTGTGGTGCTTGACATAGATCATAGTTCTAACTGAGTCAAGCTCTTAATCTCATATGTATAATTTTTATTTCCTTCAAATGTATTTAAGTGAATGTCGTGCAGTAAAGGTCAGTCTCTGCTGCAGTCTTAATTATTTTTCATTAACTAATAAGCTAATGTCTAGGAAAACTATAAAAGAATCAATTAAAAGTATCAGATATCAGAGATACTTTTTTTTTTTTTTTTATTTTCACACATAGTATTCCAGTTCCTACAGATTTGATGTGCAAGATTGCACAGTATTTGCTAGAGGTGGAGTGATAGTTGATGAGTGTCTCCTGGGGGTTTAAAAGTCGTCTGGATGCTTGTGGAGTTACCTTGTAACTCCAATGCTTTCCAAGTTGTGGATGACTGACAATGCATTCTGTGATGAGTATGAAGTTCTGCATTTACTAAGTAAAGGTAAACGAAAAATGGTTTATCTATGGAGGATGAACAAACTGGGATCAAATTAATCCTCAGATCTAATGAGACTTGGTGAGATGCAGGTTGACCCTGTTGTGATTGGGAACTGGATGAGATGACCTCCTCCTCCTGTTCCTGCTGCATCTGAATGCCTGCTGACAGAATAGGACTCAATTTTTGATGTTTTGGATTTTAAAGCCCACATATACTAAATCCTACATGGTAAAAATGAACTCTAGTGACATCATGTCAGCTTATGCTTTTGTTGCCCCAATTCCTTTGTGTTTCTGCAACTGAACGTTGTAACCCACACCTGGGAAAAGGCTGAGTAATGATGTTGTTAACCATTTAGAGTGGGACAGAATTATCTAGCCAGAGTGATGATCATTTGCAAAAGGTGGTCACTAAGCAGAGAAGAGTGTTTTTAGTGGAGGTTAGCTCCAAAGTGTTCAGATAGTTTAATCTGTGGCTCACATTTAGGGTGGCTTTTAATAAACTCATAGCTTTTCCCTATTTCCCATGGAAACTAGGACTGTGTAACTTTTTCTGCCATACATATATTAATGTTATTACCCTGGAGGAAAGAGCTAATAGAGATAAATCTTCAGCTGTTTTAAATTGAACGTGGGGAAATTTAGCTTAATGAGGGAAATTTTTACATGGTGCTAAATTGATTTAAGCATGGTTTAAACCAGTATAAAGCTTGTAGTTATTAGGACTTTCCTCCAGCAAAATTAGATTAGGTTTCTTTGGGGCTTTTTTTTTTTGGCTGTTCTGTACATAACAAATGTAGCAAGTTTACTGCACATCTGATTACATTTAGGATTATATTGAAAAGATTCATGAACATACAGTGATTAATATATGAAACCTTAATCTAAGTGGAAGAAGACTTTGATTTACTTGCAGTGTGGATTGGTAGTGGAAGAAGTGATGCTAAACGGAAGGCTGACGGCAAATTGCCAACATTTTTTTCCCTCCTGTTGCTTTTTAACTTAATGCACTCTGTCCTCTTCTCTTGTCGGTGGTTGTTGTTCTGGGGTTCGTGTTTTTTGTCCTTGCTGACAACTCTGCTGCTTTTATAACTTTTTCTGTTATATAAATAGTCTTAATCTTTTCCACTTGGCCTTCATGGTTATCATACCTATTTTCATTCCTTCCTTATTGTACCTTATTTTCACTCTTTAATTCCTTCATTTCTTTCGACCTTTCAGAACAAATATGGAATATGTAAATATTAGTAGAAAGTTTTCATAGTTTTGACTTGTACACGTTGAGAAGAAAGAAGTGTATAGGATGCTGTCAAGGTATAAAGATATTAACAGTCTCCTCTTTCCTCGTAGGTTCTAACATCAAGCCCAGGTCACCTCTGACTGTGGCTTTGTACTCAGCTGCTGCATTACTTGTGTAATTCCCTAAAATATCCTCCTGCAATTAAAAACTAGAATTCAGTTTTAACTGAACTTGAAAGTTTTCTTACCCAGCAAGATTCAAGAACAACTGATGTATCTTAACATATACTTTAAGCCGTTTTTGATTGGAAAAACAGTAATTTTGAGTGAAGTGAGCTGCAGTTTGTTATAGAAATCCTACTGCTGTTCCCATTTGCAGAAGGAAAGTGCTCATCCTGTCTGTGGCCACAGCCTTGCTCCTCTTGACTTTATCTGTTTGAAATACTGCTAATGGCTCTGTACATGATAGAAGCAGACCTCTTTCTTAGATCCATAGCTTGACATTTCCAAACAAGTCCATGGGAGGTAGGCACCCAAATATTTGATTGGAAACCGTGCATCTGTTTTCCTCTGAATTCCTGGGAAAGATAAGCTTTTCAATGAACAGAGAAAAGGTAAAATGTATGCTGAAAACATGTTAAAATAACCATATAGTGATGCATTTATTTTGTAGAGAAGGTATGCTAAAAGTTCCCCAAGAAACACATGCTCAGGCTTAATTTTTATTATTTTTAAACAATGATGTATACTGATTTGTATGAGTCAATCAGACTACATCAGCTGCAAGACCTGTTCTTTTTCAGAATGGCTTTCAGATTTTTCTGCAAGCTTAATGATTTTTCACATCTCTACATTAATGTCCCTTTCACTTAGTTCCTTTAGCTGCAAAATTCTGTCAACTGTGTTGCAATTCAGCAATGGGTCTAGCAGGTTAGTGACTAAAATTGTAAATTTTTTATTTGGGGATAGATTACACTTGATGAAAATGTAAGAAATCAAACATTAAATTCAGCTTTAGAGTTTATTCCTAATAGTAAAATACATGGTAAAATTCCCATTTAAAACTACTTTGTCTTAAAATTTTTCATATTTTGCGTACTCTTTCAAACATCAGCATGTTCATTTGCCCTTAAAAATATAGAGTGGGATAAACAAAATATTACTGAGAGTTTTAAATTCTGATTTGCAGTGCCTGAAAGTATATGTGATCTTGTGGATGTGGATTAAGGACACATTTTTTTGATCCTAATGTATTTTTATGATTTTTTTTTTTAAAAACCCATAAACTCTTCAGTAGTGTGTAACTCAAGTGAGATATTAAAGGAAGAAAACCTGGGAAGCTCTTGTGGATGTGGATTAAGGACACATTTTTTGGTCCTAATGTATTTTTATGATTTAAAAAAAAAACCCCAAAACCATAAACTCTTCAGTAGTGTGTAATTCAAGTGAGATATTAAAGGAAGAAAATCCGGGAAGTTGGATTTCAACCTTAGTTATTTGAGCAGTGACTCTAATTGAACTGGTTGGAAGTGGGGTTAGACCCAGCAGCAAAAGTTGTTCAGGGCAAATTCAGTGATGTGAATTCACTGTCACAGCTCTGCTAAATGTAATTGGAATTTGCAGTCTAGCAATTGGAATAGAAATTCTTCAGTCCTGGGTCTTTTATTTCTACCAGGGACACAGACACTGCAACACAAGTAGTCCCCTTCTTCATCTTTTTCCACTTCACTGTGGTCAGGGAGCTTCATCAATTGGAACCAGGAGGGGAAAAAACTAAAATGAAATCTATTTTTAGATTAAGAAAATCAAAGTTGTTAATAATTGGATGAGTTCTCTATTAACAATATTGGGAATAATAGAAATTATGAAACTTGATTTGGGGGAGAGAAGTGTAAAGGAAAATGCAATTCAGGTGCAACAGACGTCTTCTGTCCGCTGTAAATGAGATGTAAGTTGAAGACCTTTTGATGACGTAGTGGGGAAAAAAGCCTCATAAAAAGCTTCCAGCCTCTGTCAGCTGAAAACCTCTACTTTTACTTGCACAGCTTTTCAGCAGAATTAGTATTTTGGGCCAGATTCAGACCTGTAACCTCGCAATAACAGACTCCAGTTCTGAACCGTTGCTCTCCCACGGCCGTACAACTCCTTCCTCTGCTCGACTCTCCTGGTGAATGATTTTTGAATCAGCTGTAATATTAATTTTGTCTGCCTAGTATAAATTGTCAGCTCCCTTTTTTTGGTGTGCAGGAAGGCTTATTGTTTGTGTTTTATCTTCCCTCCTGTTTTTTCACTGAAGAAGCTAACTGTCGCAGAAGACCAGATGATTGCATATATTAGCTCACCGTTACCCATGTATTATTTTTGCTAGCCTGCTAATTACAGTTTGTCTGTTAAGTGGATGCCTTTTATATTTAAATTGTAAGCTACATAGGACAGGAAAATGCAGTGTTTTTGTTTATACCCAGCACAAAGGATACTCTGATCTTGTTATTTCTTGTAGTCACTCCCAGAACTGCTAATCATTTCAGACAAACCTTAATTTTAGTTGGTTTAAGAACTTCTGTGCTCAGGCTTTCTTTGTTTTAATAAAGAGGAGAAATCAGCATTGCAAGTAATTGGCTAAAGTAATTTACCATTATGTAGTTTGCCTATGTTTTTTAGACAAAAAAAATCAAAGTAGGGCATAACATGTCATAGGAGTGCCCCCGTTTCCTGCCTGATACCATCACTAGTACTTGATGGTCATCATTTATTCTTTATTTGGCATTTAAAAATAAGAGTTTTCTGGGTTGGTGCATTTTGTGGGGGTTTTTTATGGTTGCGGGGGTGGTGTTTGGTTGTTGGGTTGGTTTTTTTTCCCCCTTTGAAAGCTTCTTGTGGATTTTTTTTTCTCTTGTTTGAACTATGTCTACAGTAATAGCATATAAAGCACTCTGGTGCTCTAGAGAGTGAATATTTGAAATTCATGAATCTTGACAGGTAGTGACAGACCATATTTTATTTGAGGAACGCAGGAGCTGACGTGAGCAGTGATGCATTAGTACGTGCTAGGTATCTGAAATCAGGTTATCAGATCTTCATGGAGGCCTCCCTGTTGATACACAAGCACTTCCAAATTATAATGTTGCCTCAAAGAGGGAGATAGGTGCCAGCTGGGAAGCACACCAGCTTTCTGAAGTACACCTTTGGAAAGATCTCGCTGTAAAACGAGGCTGTACCTAATGTATGTTGTTCCTTCATCGTTACTTTTTGTCTCCTCCCATGCTTTAGAGTGCTGTTCAGAGGAATCCATCGTCCCCTCCAAGCCCCTTCCATTTTCCCCCTTTAAATGGAAAGAATCATCTTGGTTTGTTGTTTGGCATTGTTGCAGGTGGAGCTGGAGGTCACGCTGCCAGGAGAAGGAAAAGACAGAATATTTAAGGTGGCTATAAAGTGGATGTCCTGTGTGAGTTTGCAGGCTTTACATGATGCTCTTTCTGGTCGGCTGCCAAGTGTCCCGTTTGAAACCATCCAGGCACTGGATGTAGTGATGAGGCACTTGCCTTCCATGAGGTGAGGGGAAGAACTTGATGTTGTTTAGGAGGTTGTATTGTTATTTGAATTGTTTTAGTGGCTTTTTGGGTAGGATGTGATTTCATTGCTCAACCAAAATAATAGCTCTCTAGCAGATGGCATGCTCAGGCAAGAGGCAATACGGTGCTCTTCTGCTCATCCAGTGGAATTAGTAGCCTCCAGCCTGGATACAAGTCCCTTTCCCCACTGGAAGTCTTCAGACTTGCCCCATGTTTGTGTGCTGTTAGGTCGGGGTGCCCTGCCATCTTGCTTGTACCCTGTTTCTCTGTAGGCCTCAGAGAAGGAAGCCCTCCCTGCGTGGTAAGTAGTTGGAGGTTGTTAGACATGTAAGGGTGGTTTTAAAACCTGCTACCATGTTCCTATGTGTCCTTGGGCAGATGTTTGTTGCCAGCTTTGTATAAAGGATTCTGTGCTCGGAGGACAGTAATGTCACCCAGTATAGCTGTTTTTATAGAGAAGAAAAACTTGACAGTTCTTTGGGTTTTTATTCGAAGCAGGTGGGATCTACAGCATTTGCAGTCAAACCCAAGAGGTACTGAGTTTAATTCCGCTGCTGTGAAACAAATCACTTAAGACCACTTCTCAACTTACATTCAATTGGAAAGTAAAGAACAAAGCTTAGCGCTGGACTTTCCCGTTTTGAAGGGCTAAACAGGAAAAATGAGTTAAATTTATGGAAATATCTTTAAATAGCCTTATATTACATTGACTTTATCCTCACATTGGCGATGGAAAAAAAAAAATCAGAATCACTTTAGTCAGGTTTTGCAGCACAGAAAACAGCCCAGACTAGTTAGTCACACATCTTTGTTCAGAGAAACATACTGGTGCTGGTTTTCATTAGTTTGATATTAAGTGTGCAGTACCGATTTACCAAGATAACAAATGCATGAAAAATATTTGTTGGGTCAGTTGTTCACCCACGCAAAGTTTCCATGGTTTTCAGGGGAAGCTATGCACAAGTGAGGAGAGAGATTATTAAATTGTTGTTTCAATAGCAGAGATAATTATTTTCTTACTGAAGTATAGCTGAATTATTACTAAGTACCAAAAAAAGCTATTAATGCTTTTTGTTTGGATTAGTAGATATATCAAGGAGTATATTGAAAATAAATTTAAACAAACATGAGCAGTAGCCAGTTTCTTACTGTAATTAGCTGGATTTTGAGAGGTGTAACCTGAGTCCTGACAGGAACCTCAGATTATTGGTATTTGAAGCACTGACATTTTTGTGCTTTTCTAAGTAGGAGTTTGCATTAGTTATGGCTTTATTGAAATTTTTTTTTTCCCCCTTTAATTTTATGATCTGAATTTACTTTCTTTATTGCAGATATACTCCTGTGGGGCGATCTTTTTTTACAGCATCAGAAGGGTGCTCAAATCCCTTGGGTGGTGGTAGAGAAGTTTGGTTTGGCTTCCATCAATCAGTCAGACCTTCATTATGGAAAATGATGTTAAATATTGATGGTAGGTCCTATAAAAATGTTTCCTTATTCCTTCTTTCTCATTTAGTGAAAAGGCAAAAATTTAGTTTCATTTGTTGGATTTCTTAAAAATTTCCTCAGTATTGTTGTAAGACAACATATAACATTTTTATCTACAGTATCTGCAACCGCGTTTTACAAAGCACAGCCAGTTATCGAGTTTGTATGTGAAGTTTTGGACTTCAAAAGTATTGAAGAACAACAAAAACCTCTGACAGATTCCCAAAGGGTAAAGTTTACCAAAGAAATAAAAGGTAAGAATTAAATTACGTAAAGCTGCTTTGTTCTGTCTGATGATGTGTTACCACTACACATTCAAAATATTTGCTGTAACAGTCGCCTTACTGGGAGGCAGATCGGCACAACGAACAGTGCATACACTTTTTGAGCAAAACTAAGAGGCAAGAATCATTTTATTACTTATATGTGTTTTAAGACTTTCAGAAGTCGACTGGTCAATTTTATGTTTTAGTGTACTCGTCCTTTTTTTCTTACTGCATCAATTAATCTCTGTAGCTTGACAGAGTCACTTTACAAATATAAGCAAAGTTGAGTCAGTTCAGGTACGTATGTGACTTCAGATTTGATGAGTCAGCAGTATAACAACTTCAGGGAGCATATTTATTTATTTATTTTGAACCATCCACATTTAGAGCTCAGGTATGCACATAAGTAAATTATCACATATTTGAGAATTTATGGCAAGTATATATGCATGTGCATTTTGTGTGTGGCAAATATGTGCCCCCTCCCTGGAAGTGTTGAAGGCCAGGCTGGATGAGGCTTTGAGCAACCTGATCTAGTGGAAGGTGTCCCTGCTGATGGCAGGGGGGTTGGAACTGGATGATCTTTAAGGTCCCTTCCAATCCAAACCATTCTGTGATTCTATGAAATATGGGGTAGTTTAATTAGCTTTAGCCTTAATGAAAGTGTTCTTGTGAAACCATGAAGCTGGTATGGTTTACTCTAAGTAATGGGATGAACTAAAACTTTCTAGCAGATAGATGGTAATTTATTTTAGTGAGATTAGTTACTGGCTTGTGACTTGTGCAAGCTTCTCCTCATTTAAGTGTAGGTTCTCTTGACATACCTTCATTTTTTTTTTTGTCTCACCACCACCCAGTAATTTGATCATCAAGTTACTGGTGCGTGTTAGCATCTGAGAGCATCTCTGCAGAGGTTACTACTGAGCTCTTATATCTTCAGCATATAAAACAGCATCACTTATTATCTCAGTCTCCTTAAAAACAATTTACCTCCCCAAGCAAAAATTGCTTTATTGTATTTAGAAGTTACATTTACTGGAGTGCTTTACTCTTCTTAAAGTACCCCCATCTCTAGAGTAAATACAAGTTAAAAGTTAGAAATACAAAAATTTCATATTTTTAACTTTTGAAACATATCGGTAGTGCCAGTCCCAGTTACCTGACATGGATATTCCAGTTCCTAATCTAATGATTTCAAAATGTTTTCAAAGACTAGGATTTCATATTTTATTTAAAATTGCCTGATCTTTAATTTTTTCAATTATTGGTGTCAAGATTTTAATATTCCATATATTTCACTAATAATTTAGCAATATGTTTTTGTATATTTAGATACATTTCATACATATAAGTATGAAAGTAAATTATAGTTGTTCTAATATGTAATGACTGAATCAAAGAGTAGGAGGAAGGAATCTTACTGTTTATGTTCACTGGAGTTTTCTTCTGGAAAACTGAAGTCCTTCATGATATGCTTGATAGAAAGAAGGCAAGTTAAAAAAGAAACACAAACTCCATAAATCTGTCTTGTAGCTTCCTTGTTTCCAAGAAATGGCCAGAAATTCATCTTCACCCAACTAGAAGTTAGCAAGAAAAGTATAAATAGATCCTGAGTTTTGTATTAGTTGTAAATGTTTTGAAAAAATAACGAGGCACTGAAGTGCCACCAGCTATTGTCATTTTTTCCGTGAGGATTTTAATTCTTCAGATAGAAGTCATCTCAGATTTGCAACAAAGCTAGTTGCAAATTGAGGTAACAGTTTATCTTTTAATGAAAACACTGTGATACAGTTTTGGAGGTATTCATAAGAACTTGATATTTACTGAAGATTTCATAATAGGTGGTACTTTGAGCCATAACAAATTACATGGAAAGATTAATATGTTGTTTGGCGAGTTATTATTGCTTTGACAGATAGGGGAAATATGCACTGTTACTCAGCAGCAGCCTGACTTTGTACACACATGCAGATATATACGGAATTCCTGTCTACAGCTCCCTCTTTCCTATTCCCACACATTTAAATTCCTGTCTGATAGCTCACCTACACCTGTTTCTGCCTAAGCTTGAAAGTAATATAAATGAAAACGCTCCATTCAAGCTTATATTTGTGGGTAATGGTAAATTAGAAACAATTCTTTACAGGTAGCTGGGTTATGCTGGTTTCACGTGGATAATTTATTCTTCTAGAAGTTACTGGCTTTCAGGTGGGCTTGGCTTTTGTGCCAGTGGAGATTGCAACAGATGTTTGTCTTCATGAGGAATAAAACCCTGTGACCTCATTCCCATGGGCTCCTAGAGCCTGTAGGGGTATTTCCCCTCCCCCAGTTCATTAGTTCAGGGTTGGTTGCAATGGTTGGAGGTCTCACAGACACCAAATGTTTAGATGTAAAGTATAAACAAGCTTTTTATTTCAAGGAGGTTGTGTGCCCTTTTTGTCCTTTCACCACTCTGGGCTTCCTTAGAGGTACAGAATTGGAATTCCCAGAATGCGTTCGGCTTTGTCTAACTCTTGGGGCTTTGGAGTTTCATCTTGTCTCTTAAAATTCTTTGTTGAACTTTAGGTGAAGCTTGAAGTTCTTTGAATTTTAAGACTATAAATTGTTTTTTTGAGTTCTGTTTGAGATAACCTTCAATGTTTGAAGAACGTGCTAAGTAGTGAAAAGCTTTGCTGCACAGTTTAATTGGGCTTGTGTAGCAATTAAGGGGCTGACACCCTGATTTTGAAGAAACAGTGCTACGTGTTTTCTAATTTTCAGGTCTAAAGGTGGAGATAACACACTGTGGACAAATGAAAAGAAAGTACAGAGTGTGCAATGTCACCAGACGACCAGCAAGTCACCAAACGTAAAGTATTTTTGCTTCTTTTTAAACATATATTTAATCTTAGGCTGGAAAAGCATCTTGCCTCCCTTACTGGCAAGGAAAGTTGTCTTGAAAAATGATACTTTCTTTGGTCAATATAGTTAAAATACACCTCAATTTTCCCAGTTTTGCTGTTCTCTTTATTATATTTTTATTCTTTAATGAAGTTCATGGCATTTGAACCAGCTGATTTTGTTTTAAATCTGTGGTGGGCTTTTTTTTTTTTTTCCCTTTTTATTTGTGGATTTCTTCAACATTGGAAGAACAAGGTGCCCAATTGGTACTGTGATGTTTCCTAGAATGGTTGAGTAGAAAAGTAGTGCCAGTTGGGATTAACTTGGCTTGCTTATTAGCAATCTATTTTTCCTTTGGAAAAAATTGTCTTTTTAATCACTAACGAGAGATTTGCAGATAATTTGAATATAGATGTATTTATTCCCATTTTTAAGAAAGTAGCACAAGGAACCAAACTGATACCAGCTTAAAACTGATCAGTATCTAAATCTGGTATTTAATTGTTTGGGCTTTGTTTCATTTTCTTTCAATAATGTGTAGTATCAATGAAAAGACAATATTTGTGCCACCTGTGTGTGCATATGCAGAAATATATTTGTAAAATATATTTGAAAGAGAGAAATGCATTTCTGAAGCATAATTGGTTTTTCAACTCTCACAGTAGGCTTGCTATTTTCTGTGCATGGCATATCGTAAAATACAGTACTACAAGTATCCCAAATAAGCAGAAAATATTAGTCTTTGTCTCTAAGGCACCTGCTGTTAGGAAACTTAATTTCAAGAATGTTAGAGAAATAACCTGCTGTGGTACTACTAGAATACACATGGTTGTGGCAACGATGGAATAAATCTTAATTATAGAAGTACACTTGCATCATTTCAGCAAGATAGGTTTAATTTCCAGTAAGCTTCACTTGTGCCAAGAAGTGTGTTGAGCAAGTGTGGGGAAAGCTTTCTACATAAAGTAACGGTTTATTATTTTCATCTTTGATTTCCAATAGATTCCCACT